CCTGTTCTCTGGAACGTCTCGCTATTCTTCTCCAAGTAACCAAAACAGAAAAATATGGTTTATTATTCATTCGTGCTCCAATTTTTTTTTTTTTAAATTCATTTTATCAATTATTTATGAGTTGCACCTACAAATCAATTTACGATGATAGAATGAACATGTTTCATACATTTACATAACCATCCTATTAGAATCTGAAAAAAAAAGTTGAAAATGAATAATTATTTATTAATTTAGTTTTTATTTATTACAATTAACATGCAGGATTTATAAGAACTTTGATTTTTTAATTAATTTTAACAAAAAATAAATCACATACCAATTTGTTAGGTTATAATCCTGTTTACACATTTTCGATCATTTGTTCAGTCATTTGTTTATCACAATTATCCTCGAACGACGAATTGCGTAAGAATATTCATTGACATCAGTTATTTCGTTGCTCACATAAATCAGTCGTTTGATATCGTATCAATAGATCATTCGAAATGGCCTGCGCTGAATAACGTCGCGTGCTAGCCCGATAATTAGTCGTCATTCACACCGAAATCAATGGAATGTAATTTCAAGCGAATCACGTGCACGCACCCTATAATCAAAGATACAACGTGCGAAATAATAACCTGAAGTGTGTCGCAAACCACGCGTCGCTATTCGCTTATTGGCACTTGCTCGATAATCGATGCTTCCAAGAATAATGGAACACTTTCAAACAAATACGATCTTTTCATTTCATGTCGAAATATTTCATGGAATTTTTCATATATAAAAAAGTAAGTACACCGCAAGGTATCACGTGTTTTTATTTTTATCATTTATCAAATATTATTTTGGGGAAATTTTTTTTCATTATTTTCCATCAAAAACCTATATTTTAAAGGTTATATTGATTTAGTTTTGACAATATATCAGTATATAAAGACACATTCCTACATGCAGTGTATGAAAATGCTGTCTTATAAAAATTAATTTAAATAGATCTTTTTTTTCCAAAAAGAGATGCACATTATTGATGCATTGTGTTCGCACCAAACACAGAAAGTTACTCTTTAATTATTCCTTAAGCGACTCACGTTACAGAGAGTGCACTGATTTGAGTAGTATCTTCTATCGATTCCTGTGGATAACGTCGTAAGTTCTCAGGTTTGCTCCGTCGGTAATTAGCCGAATACGTGATCGGCCGTTTCAGTCGGGAAGTTTCGGGCGCTGCTCGTCAAGTCCAAACAAAACGTGTGACCTTCAGTAGAATGAGAATCCTAGAGGCCGTGGCAGACCTCGTTATTCAGGCAGGCCAGGCTATAACCCTGAGCCGAGATCAACGGTGAGCAAGATGTTTGTGCATTAATGCTTGCGGTGGACTGCAATCGAGCACGATACACCACCTCCCGAAACGGCTCGTATTTCACGTGGACGCAACGTTCACTCGCGTTCGCGTAATCTGTGCTAGCCTCGAGACCGTCTAGCGCTACTTAACTCGTTTGTACGGTGAGAGGCGTTAATGCTGGACGTGCTGCTGGACGAAATTGCGGGAAAGGAACAAACACGTTGCGTATAGGTTATCTTTGCATATATATATATATTTACATATATGAATCTTCCGCCATGTGATTCTTCACTTGAAATTATTTAGGAACCTGGTTGGAAATAGAAGATATATACATTATAATGTCTACACGTTAGCTGTTTAATCAATTATTATTACATGTAATGAAAAGAATCGTCGTATAACGAAGGTGGAATATTTTGACAACTTCGGGTAACAACTATATTTCTTTTGACAACTTTATTTCTGAATTGAAACGAGAAAATGTGCAATATATGTAATAATTAATATTAAATTTGTCTTTTTTCTTATGAAGTCATACTCGTAACGGAAATATATTATTACTGCAACCCGAAGTAAAAAGGTAACCTCAAAAAGCTAAAATTGTATGTCATAGTTTTTGTCTAAATGAAATCAACTTTTTCTTTATATATTTTTTGGTGCCGTCAAAAATAACAGGGATATAAAGGGAACGCAGGCAAGATAAATGAAACGGTCTGGATAGAAAGCCAAATGTTTTTGGCTTTTGTCGTGTGATGTGTCAGTCCTGTGGAAGTGTCTCCTATGCGAAAGAGGTTTAATGCTTTTGGAATTGTTAACGCAGTAATACGTAGTAATTCGTAGTAATTGTGTTTGACCTTAATGACTTTGGTAACTACGAGTCCAAATTGTAGAACATTTGTGTCATTCGCAACGTTCTATATGGATACGTATGTGAGTTACAGAAATAGTTTGTACTTCTGTCGAATTATACGTAAAACATAACATTTATGGTTGCGTTGTGAAAGTTGATTTTGTACTATTTCAATTATAGAGTTTTCAGCCATTAATGAAATTCACGCGAGGAACAGGGTTGTTGTTCGCATTTGCAAGTAAAATTAGTTTGAATTTTGGCCATACCGGTTCGAGGTTATATTTCAGTAATTCACGGTTATGCTGCTTGTACTCGCGTTTGAAATCTGTACCATTGCAGGTTATATAATTTGCAGCCTTTGTCTCTAATGGCCTTTGCTTATTACAAAATTTGGTTTCATCTGTAAATATTTATTGAACTTTTGGATATACATATTCCAGATATGTAATATAACGAATTATTATTATTAGTATTATTAGCATTATTGAAGATTAAGTAGGAAAATTTGAAGTAATTTAGAATGAATTATTTTAGCAAGTTATTAAAGTTATTATATGTGCTTGTATGATTGATATATTTTTTTGTTTCCAATTCGGCTCTAGTAGTAAAAATTACTAATTCTTTCAGGTGTGTTTTGAGGTTATGTAATACTCAAAAAATACTCATGCTTATTTTTGAGTATTAGTTTAATCAACTGATATTGAATGAATGCGAATATATACTTGCATACACTATGTATCACTATAACAGTGAACGATATAGGAGCAAATAAAATCAGTATAGAAATATTTCAAAGGCTACCGAAACCGTAACAAAAGTAGAAATTTTCACAAGACACCGAAACGATTTACTCGTTTTATTAATAAGCGAAAGAGATACAGAATTTTTAGTTATGCCACTATGTTAAAAGCGCATATAATGAATTTAGCCTAGGTATTTATTTTGTAATTATATAAAACTAAAATGCATATATCACAAGATGTTCAACGATGGTTCCATATTTAAAATTGAAAAATAAAGATTAACAGAAATGAGTTTCATTAAGAAATAACTCTATGTTCGATACACGATACATGTAATTAGGTAATTGCCCCGTAGCTTCCCATGTTCTTTTTATAAAAAAGTAACTATAATTGTCATAGCTCACAAAAAAAGAAATATGATTAATTACTTGATTCAAAAGATATAGTTACGTAAAAACTAATTTCAGTATTAAATAATACCGCTGAAAGGATCAAAAGTTTAAAAGTTATTAACCGAACAATATCACCGCTTAATTAAGAGATAATTAGTGGTCTGTAATTAATAATAATCTCTAATATACTCGTACCACATCCTAATATATATAATAGCGTGTACTGTACTATAGTGTACTTTTAATCAATGTCCCTCTTTTATCCGCTTGAAAGCAGTCGTCTTGCCGTTTACTGGAGCAACCGCCGGTACATAAAACTATTTTACGACGAAAAGCAATCGATGGTCGATAAATCCAGCATAAAGAGCGCGATCTCTATCCCGGCATATGCGTGCCACAAAAACCGCTCAAAGTTTCTCGCATGGCTCGTCGATTGCTCGAAAACGATCCTTCACTACCGCCCTCTTCCCTCTCGAATATTGCCCGCGCTCTAGATCCGTTCAGTTTCTCGATGGCTGCGTCGATAACGCGTTCTCGAAACACAGATCGAAGACGCCATTTGTAACGAAACATTGAATTCGCGACTCTGTGCTTCTCTCATATCTATTTTTCTTATTTCTCCCCTTGTGACTTTGAAGAGGCTCACGAAACGCGTTTTCACCGCTTTCTTTCGGCGGTTAAACCATCGTGTTTCCGTTAGAAGAATTTTTATTGCCAAACATGTGTGGTTATCTTTTAAATAGTTCTCCTCGCTTATCCGTTTTGTGTGAAATGACAGTCGATGATAGTGTTATCGATTTACAATGAAAAATTTGCATGCCAGGACAGGTTTTTGAATTCGATGGATTGGTCGGAGTTTGTTTCCCAGGTTTGTTAATTGTTTCCAACTCGAGTTAACCTCATATGGCTTGTGACATGACATATGAATGCACTGAGTTGATCTGTGCATTTTTAAGCTTCATACTAAATATCATGAATTGTAGCTTGAACTAGTATTTTTGAGAACTAAAGTACTTTATCTAGAACAATGAACAAAAAATTAATAAATTGTAAATTTTTAATAGTAACAGATATTATAAATCACACAATATTTTTGAAAACAAAGTTCATTATTACTGTTCATATATTTAAAAAAAGAAACACTAATGATTAAAAATCCCTTTGAAAATGTACATCGTTGTAATAAGAATAGGAAGAAGATTATTTATATTCACATTCCTATAAATCAAACCAATATTTCTCGTTCGCCATATTTCACATCAGGAGACGCCATCTTTCATTCCTTATCATACTAAAACATAATTTTCCAAATCACATTTACACGTTTCCGCGATAACATAGGACAGAATTCACATTTCCGAATTACCGACCGAAAGCTATATATTTCTTGCAGTAACACGAACACGACTAAAAATGATCTTAGAACGCATAACCTACTTTTAGCTAACCATTTTTAAAACATTTCTCGAATGAAGGAGGGAATCGAAACAAAGGAATTGCTATATTTGTCCCAACGGTTCGAAATATCGAATATCATCACTCTGAAATCGATACATCTTTGGATCGATCGCGACACACGAATCCCTTACGCTGGGCAATAATTTGCTTTATTGCTTGAGCAAGTGGTAGCAAGTTATGTGATGGAGGGGCAAAGCGAAACTAAACGAGCGATTTCACGCTGTTCGTAGAAAAGCCCGACGAAAGGAGAAAGATGCGGGAACCACAGAAGATCCGAAATTGTACCTCGAGGAGGCGGCCCTTGAAAGGCAGCTGCCAGAGCTGGACCTGAGGATGATGGTCGATCTACCGCCTGGCTTGGACTACAACGAATGGCTGGCCTCTCACACTCTCGCACTATTCAATCACATCAATCTCGTTTACGGAACGATATCCGAGTTCTGCACGATGACGGGCTGTCCCGATATGACCGGTCCTGGCTTAAGGTATGTATCTCATGAAAGAACACATTTGGACAAGGAGAACATCATTCTTGACATTTCAAGGTTTCTGAATTTTTTAAATTAGAGAATTTTTTAAAGAGAATGCATATTCTATTCAGTGGATTTATTACTGTTCTATATTATTAGTTTCATATTATTAATGTCCATGAAAAAGTTTAGAAAATAAAAGAAAAAGAAAAGAAACAGTAAAAAGTAATTTTGTTACAATAAATAAATTATCTTATATTAATAATACGTAATAAATTCTATATTATTGAAAGTATTTTGGAAATCTATTTTAGTCGTTCACGATAAGTATGAAGCTTTTCCTAACCTACAAAGGAAGCAAAGGAAGGAAAGATAAAGGAAAGTTATTAAGGATTATTCTTTGTACAATTTTCTTCTTGCCCTTAACTTATAACCTTCTTCTTTATTTCTGCATTTCCTTTAAGCGATATTACGCAGTCAAGTAATTCGCTTTCTTATCGTTTCAGAACTTATCTGTGGTTTGATGAGAAGGGGAAGAAAACGAGAGTGGCAGCGCCACAATATATAGATTATGTTATGACTTTTACACAACGCACCGTTAGTGACGAAACTATATTTCCTACGAAATATGGTAAGTTACCTTAGCACGACGATGAGTGTAATTATCTGTATTGTCAAGTACTCATGGTATTTATCATTTATAATGCTTTTAATATTCTGAATGAAGCAATACAAAAAATCGTATAAAATATTTTTCTCTTATTTTTAAATATTTTTATATTTAGAAATTACGTATTTTCTATGTTATTATTTTTTAAGAAATTTTGAGAACTATTTGAGAAAGTAATACAAAGCCCAATTGATGCTATTATACATTGTATAAAGTAATCAAATCTTATTTCTTAAAATTTGTTTTTTGTTTTTCATAAATTTTTAAGCAAAGCCTTGGTAACTCTACAGTAAAAATAAAAACTTTTAATTTTAATACAAATATATAAAACATTAACTTCTTTTGTTTCTTTATAAATATGATAGAGATAATATTCAGATAAATTTTATTTTTAAATTCCCAATAAATTATCCTTAAATGAATAAAAGAAAGTACACTCGAATGCTATATTTACAGTTATATATAGTCAGCAGTCAAGTAGTTTGCTATGGTAGTATCAACGTTTCGCAGAGTCCACTATATACACGAAATGGTAATTGTATTAATTGGTCGGTTTCTTGAATGTTTCAGCAAATGAATTTCCTAGCTCGTTCGAATCGATAGTGCGTAAGATCCTGCGGCTACTGTACCATGTGGTGGCACACATTTACCACTGCCACTTCAGAGAGGTAGCACTCTTGGGGTTGCACGCTCACCTCAATTGTGTATTTGCCCACCTCACGCTCCTTAATCAACGCTTCAACCTTATCGATCCCAAGGAAACGGAGATCTTAGGAGACTTAGAGGCTGCCCTCTTGGGTAAGCTTACCTACCGAGATCGATATTATTATGTAATACTTGAGAGCGTTATATTATCATAATAGGATTACTACGGTTTAAGAAGAAACATTAGCGTTACGAATTATACGACCTACTAAAATCCCACGATATTACGTACAACAGATTCTTCGTGAAGCAGATAGAAAATGATGAGCGACGAATACTTAAGTTGATGGTTCATTAATAATGTTAGTTAACTGTTCCAAAACGATGGTAAAAGTATATTCGATAGAATTGTTGACAGCTTTGGATACTTTTATTGAATAGATAGTTTTGGTCTTTACAAAAGACGAAAATCTGTAAAATAATACAGCTGATAATTATAAATAGAATAGCTCGATATAACTTGTGTATTATTTAATATGGTTTTCTTCGTCAACTATGCTCACTATTCCTCATTAAATTACCGTTCGTAATATATTTAGGTATTGCATAATATATAATAAAATATACACTAATAAGTATATTAAAGGAAAATGTATTACAGTTTATTAAATTTATGAAAAATTGTTTCTCTCAGTACTGTATAGGAGATTTTAATAATTTTAATAATTGAAATGTTAAAAGATAAAAGTAACTAACAAATTAGCGTTGATTCCTCTTTGATGAAATATAAACTTAATTCATTAATGTAGACCTGCTTTGGACAATTAGTGCCTTTATAATTCAATTATGAGTATATGTATAACGAAATAACTTTTATTTTACATACACCTGCAAAAATATACAACACGATAATGAAAAAGTTCAGTATTATTAATTTTTATTTGATTACTAAAAATATTTTATTATATTGTTTTATTTATTTACTAAAAGTAATTTCGTAATTACAGGTGACTCAACATCATCATCAGCGCCTTCATCACAAACTTTAGCCATCCAGGAGACTCCGACCACAGCCACCTAGATCGCAATGCACAGCAAGCAAGAGGTTGCAGTTCCTGAGACTAGGTGACGATAGGCGTTTGTTTTTCCTCTTTCTTTCCCTCTACTTCCAATCTTTTTCTCTTTCTCTCTCTTTTCCGCTCCTCTCTTTCTCTTTTCTGTTTTGTTTTTTAAATAGAATACGCGAACGACAGAGTTTAAGCATTAACGACTACATACGCAGGTGGAGCGAAAGCGCAATTCTGTAAAAACCAGTAGTACCTGTACATAGCGAAGTGTGAACAACTACATGATGTAATTAGGTTCCTCCGTTTGTTGTTTGTGAGATTGTACATAATTTATTAAACAGTAAGATATACGAAAGAGATGAAGGATGATTATTGATTATTATTGACAAAGTTAGTTGCTATAAGAGGATAATTTGTTCTGTAAAAACAAAAACAAACAAAAAAAAAAAAAAAAAAAAAAAAAAAAAAAAAAAAAAAAAAAAAAAAAAAAAAAAAAAAAAAAAAAATAACAAAAAATAACAAAATGAATGAAACTGATAATAATATTGTAAAGTTTAAATAATACCAAATATATACCTGGTGTTAAGGCATGTGTTATATTCGTTGAAATTTGAACAGCCACCGAGCTGTTCCCGAATCTTCTTCAGTTCACATCATTTGTATCCTGGGACAATGCCTTTTCGAATTGGTGATCGAGATAATTTATCATCATCTATGGAAGGACAACGGATGAATATTGTGATTTGCTTGACAAGGAAAATACCATCCATACGCACAAATTACGCTTTATATTAAGTTTTTCCTTTTTATAAGTATATTTGATAAAACGATTTAGTTATTTTTTAACCCTTTGAGTCCCAGCAAATTCTTCACTTCAGATCAGTTGATACTATTTGAAGCATTTTAAAACAGTGCGAATTTAGAAAGAGAAATGTGCTTATAAATGGCCTCATGGATATTCTAAATAATTCCTAATAAAGGCCTGTAGCAAATACACTTGGTCCTTAAAGGGTTAAAACTGGTTTCTTCTACTTAATCATAATTCAGCTTCATTTTAATCCTTTCACTATCATCTTAAAATCAAGGTAAAGTTAATCGCCTAGATATAATAGGTTATCCATTTTCTTTTACTTTTGAACCTTCGTCAATAGAAAGCAGGATATAGTACAAGATAGAGTTATAAAGTTAAAATAGCTTTGAAACAGTTATTCTGAAGTAACTTAAGTCAACATCTACATGGTGCTATTTTTTTATGAATCGCAAGAAAAGATTGAGTTTTGTACCTTATTCTCTTAACAAAGCATATTCCCTTTCTCGTCGTTTAGAATCGATTTTTTTTCTTCTATCCGTTCATCAAGTGCAAGCAACCGAGGAAGCGGTGCCTTGTCTCACTTCGACGATTCGAATTGCTGCGCACAAGTGAGCAATCTCTCGTAGGAACAATCCTATCGCTTCTGCAATAGGTTCACAAAGATCCTTGAAAGACGTCGCGATATTGTATAACAATATCAATATAGGCTGTATGAGGGCATTGAACACAATCGACAATAGAGGTTTTATAAAGTAGTCCGCTAACAATTGCAAAATGCCCACTGTCAGTGGTCTGATTATACTATAAAGTATAAATCGAACTAATTGTAGAATAAATGCTGTGACGAAAGCAGTGCCGATATGAATAGTCCCAAATATCTCAGCCCAAAAACGAGTCGCTGCTTGATCGGTTTTTTCAGCGCATTTTTCAGTCGCTAATATCGGCGGTGAATCCGTCGTTCGATAGTATCTGTGAAGATTGTTAAAGATCTTATGTTAATGAACATATAATTGTAAAATAAGCAACATAATTTTTAAATTATTTAAAACTTTTTTTTAAATATATAAACGAATTAACCTTGCTTTTTATTTCTTTTTTCTTCTAGTATCTTTAACAACAATGTTTTGATTAGAGTACAATGAATTAAGTTTCCCAAATCTTTAAATTCAGTTATGTTCATTTAAAAATTGAAAGGTTATTGTTTTCTTTTTGTTGTTATATGATATAAAGTTGAAATATGTGGTTGTACCTACGCAGAGTTCCCATGGTCAAAATAATAGATGTCGATTTTCTCTGTTATTTCCACCTTTTTCTCTTCACTCTTTAGTATTTTGACTGGATCTGGAGTATTACATTTTTTTTTATTTGGTATCCCTTCTGATATTTCACAGCACATGAAGGGCTAAATAGAGTGCATTGTTATCCACATTAAGTATAATAATTGTTTGTATACTTTTTGTATTTAATGTTCGTACTTAATAATGAAAGGAAAAATAAAATAATGTTATTCTATCAATGTGTATATGTATGGTTTACCTCTGCATAATGAGGACATGTTTTTGGTGTTAATTTTACTTCATATGTTTTATCTTTTCTTTCTAAATATCCTTTTTTTGGCCACTTCCACTTAAAGGGACACCAAAATTGTCGTGAGTATGATGTACCTGAAAGGTCGTATTTTAAACAAATTAAATTTAATTGAGAAAATAATCAATAATTCATTTAAATTTTCCTAATTAGAATTGTATTAAATACAAGGTTTAAATTATCAAAGAATGTATAAACTTTATAAGTATAAAACAAAAATCAAAGAAATCACAGTGTGTTAATGATAGTGTAAATAATTTAAGAAACTGACATAATTACCATTTTTGTACTTCAAAGGTAAAGTATAAGCACTGCTAAAAAGTAAAAATATAGTCAATTACTAACTGTTACATAAAATGGAATACTTGTATTACATCTTATGAGCACGGCATAAACATGGCATTGACGTTTGTTTCATCGAACATTGATCTTTCGGTAGATCTTTCTTGTACGATTCTTCTACTGTATTGGTTACACCGTACTGTTCCGAAGGTGCTCCGTGATGTACAGCTGAATGTATCTCCCGACATTTACAATCTTTACCTTAATAAATACAATATTTATACCCGAATTTTCACTGTTTAAATTATTAATTTCCTGGCTTACACACAATTAAATTGTTGAAAGGTATTATCCTGCCTGTTTACAGAATTACAAAGAGGTTCTCTGACATTGGCTTTAGCTGTGTAACTAGTATCTGACTGCAAAGATGTTATATTTGAAGATTCTGTTACATCAATATATGAACAATCTTCTCCAGAAACCATGATACATACATGTCTTGAAAACAAATTGAACAAAACTAGAAATTAAGGTAACACAAACTAAAACGAAATTAAACTGTCAAGTGACAGTAACTAGAACAGTTATATATATTTATATTTCATATGTTTATAATATCACAATTATGTTCTCTTGACTATTAGCAATATTCAATGTTTAATAATTTAATAACGTTACATTGTCCAAAAAAAGAAATTCCTATAAATTCCATGAATAAAATTGAAATATACACAATGAAATGAATAATAAAAATAATAAAAGTAATTTATATTAATTTGTTTATTTATCTTACAACATATAGTAACTTTGATTAAATTTTTTAATTAAATACTAAAAATTCTTACACCTCAAATACTTCAATTTTCTAAACTTTATTTGTTCTTAAAACGTTGTTCAAAGTAAAAGACTGTTTATTTACATTAATTGTATCAGAAGTAGAATAATATAATTAGCCTAGTATGATTCGATATAATAGCAGTAACTCATCTATGTGATATAACACTTGCGAGGAGTTTTATTATTTCTCAAATTCATAACAAATCAGAAAAAAATTTTACAACTATATTTACTCGCTTTTCACAAAAATTTTTAATTAGAATCTAAACACTTCAATACTCACACTTTCTCTTAAATCTGAGGTTTAGTTGAATTCTTTTATATTCTTTGAAGTAAATAATTCGTAATTAACAAATTAAATATTTAAAAACGTTAATTATAAAAGTTTTTCTGTTGTATTTATCTATTTGTTACGTGTATGTTTCTCAAAATGTTATAATACAGCTTCAATATTTTTATTCGTTGATAATGTGTCTTCAACTACACAATCCTTTAGCTTTCGACTCACTCGCTTAGAAAATGAAAAAAATTACTTACTATACATAAATCGACTATATCGTCGCACGCACGAAGTAAACATAATTCAAATACCAAATCACCTTAATATCAATCAGACTAGAATGGAAATATATATAAATACTAAATGTGTATCATTCACACAAGAGAAATCATATTCTTGACAAATGCATTCATTCAATAAGTAGTTAATAGTTTGTTGTAAAGTAATTACATTTAACTTACATTCGTATTTATATTTATACACATGTTTCTTGCAATAATTCTGACATGGAGTATTTATTCTGTAATATCATCGCGTTAACGAATCTATTAATTATATTAATCCTATATATGTACGTTTCAACGTTTTGTACAAACATCTCTTAACATTCTGTACAAGCAGTCAAAATTGAAAATTTTGGTTTAACTCATGACAGTTGGGCAATTGTATTGAATGTTAATTTTGTTCTGTACATGTATATATCAAAGGGATCTAAGAGAAATCATTAAATCATTAAAATGACAATTTGTTGCGTTGTGAACACAATGAAATGAAATAATTTATACGTTCAATATTGTTGTTACATAAGTTAAAACAATCTGAGAATAATGAAAGTACATAATACAATTGGTAAAATAATATAATTACTATCTTAAGTTCTTATTAGATACATAATAATGTTCAACTCAGATGAAACATGTTGTTCATCTATATAAAATCATTTAAAAGTATATAACTGAAAAGTATGTAACAAATAAGAACACAGCTTAAAATATACTTAAACTTTTGATCGATCCTCAGAGTGTTTTTGTAAATATATATAAGATAATATAATTGGACATTTAGGCACCTATTGGAAATGCAATGTTAAAAACATATGCATTTTTTCTAATTCGAGTATTTAATATTTATAAATAATAGTTGATTGAATAAAACCATTGACAAAAACTTCTTTACAACTAAGGCTTTTAATTTGAATTATATCTTATTAAAATTAAATTTAATCTTATCCTGTTAAGGATGCAATTAATAATTACAGAATGTTCATCTCTCTGTGTTAATTGTGCATGCAACACAACTTTCACAGTATTAATATGTAGTAATTATATTTAATAATGTTAGAAAGTGAAATTGACATAGTACTTGCAACCTTAACAGTGAAGTTAAATCTTTATTTATGTCACTGATACTGACAAACTCGAATTAAAAGTGAGGATACATTTTTAATCACACATTGACATTAAAGATGAAGGAGAAACTTGTAATTACACACTGAAGTACTTTTTTGTAATGTAAAATAACGTTCGACGATTTTTTTCTACTAGTAACTATCGTCACACGTGTAATTCTCGTACAAAAATGTATCAGACCCCTCCCTTATTTTTCTTCGATTTTCTGCTTTCTTTTTTGTATTTTAAATTACTACATATAATTAGTAAGATAATGTTAATGAGATATACTATGCTGTAAATATTTTATATTGCTATCATTAAAATGTTGTTTACGTAATGTAATAATATATTAGATGCAACAGGCAACGATAATTAAATTCTTACAAAGTTAGAGCTTGAAGTTGCGTAAATACGTAGAGGTGGATGTCTTTTGAAGAATGCAAGCATGGCACTTGAGTCAAGTACCCATGGTATTACCACAGGTCTCGTCCCCCGCCAATAGTCCCGGGTCAGACTACGTGATGCCTATGTTGGGGTAAACAACCGTTTGAAGTATTTCGGTCACACCCTTAATAGCTAGTGAGGCTTCGAAGATCAATTCGAGGTTCTGATTCCATGCCTGGAAGGAATACCAATAGCAAAGTGCCAGTTGCTCCCCAACCTCGGTAGACAGACCTGAGGATTTGCCGCCTCTACGCTGGGGTCCCATGAAATGGCGACGGTCGTGACGGGACTTCCGCCATTTGATATTTTGGCGCTAATAGTCGGAAAGACTGCACAATAGAGTCACCGGTACTGTGCTTCCAGTATTAGAATGGATACACAAAAGCAAAAGGCTCGCCTATTACCTGACATAGGTGCTCACCGGGCACGGTTGTTTCGGTGAGTACCTGAACAAAATAGGACGGGAGACGATGACACAGTGCCATCATTGCGAGGCTGAGTTGGACACGGCGCAATACGCCCTGGAGGAGTGCTCGGAGTGGGCAAGTAAACGCTGTGTCCTTTTTCAACACCTGGGATGGGATCTCTCCTTCTTTGCCACCATTCCACAGATGACGCAGAGTGAGAGCTCATGGAAAGAAATAGCCTCCTTTTGCGAATGCATAATGCAGCAGAAGGAGGTTGCGGAGTGGATATGTGAGCACACTGATCCCGCCCGCAGGGGAAAAAGATTACGACGAACGTATTAGAGGCTCGCCGACTTATCCCCCGGGGATTAATTCCGTCTCGGGAATCCGGGATACAGGGGGGACTGACAATGGGGGATGCTGAAAAATTCGAATTAAAAGTGAGGATTCGATTTTAATCACACACTAACGTTAAAGACGAAAGAGAAACTCGCAATTACACACTGAAGTACTTTTTTGGAATGTAAAATAACGTTCGACGATTATTTTCTATTAGTAACTATCGTCACACGTGTAACTCTCGTACAAAAATGTATCAGACTCTTCCCTTATTTTTCTTCGATTTTTTCCTTTCTTTTTTATATTTGAAATTATTACATATAATGAATAAGATAATGTTTTAAAATTTCACGACATTATCAAAGTATGACATACATTAAACCAGACACTGCAAACAATTTTATATAAACTATGCTGTAAATATTTTATATTGCTATCGTTAAAATGGTCTTTACGTAATATAATAATATATTAGATACAACAGGCAACGTTAATCAAATCTTACAAAGTTAGAGCTCGAAATTGTGTAAACACGTATAAGTGGATGTCTTTCGAAGAGTACAAGCATGGCACTTAAGTCAGGTAAACTTATTCGTAAGTACGAAAAACGGATTAAATTGCCAACAGTAATATGCAATATAACATTACTTTATAATCATGTTGCACAACATTTGATTATCTTTTTTTGAATTAAAATAGATTCGTCAATTATTAGACATAAATATGTCATACTTTTCGTTAGCAATATTCCTTGCATTTCTTTCGATAATTTCGATATGAATTTATGAAACATTTTTTTTTTTTTTTACATATTCTGAATTCCATTTATATTTAATATGAATTTAATATGAAAGTTTTCTAATATTAACAAAATGGTGATGATATTATTACTTACGATCTCCCATGAACTTCTACAATGCTTAAAAACTATAGAGTACAAATAATTATAATAAATAATATCAATAAAAATATATTATACAATTATATCATAGAACTGACTGTCATGGTTCTTTTGTATAAAGATATTACAATTTTCCAATATGATTAAAGTTGTACTTATATGTGTAAATAATAAATCAAATTTGATACTTGGTAATATGTATAATGTTTAAAGCAAACTTAACTAAAAATTTGCAATCGAATATTAACGTATTCATATCTAATGATTACGTTACGATTACATGAAAAGTATAGATATTTACAATTCGTTATAAAGTAAATTACTTTTTAATCAATTATATTAGCATTTTGTTTACATGAAGTAAACCATGGCGATAATATACAGAGAGAAACAGAATCTTGGCTCATGATTTGTTGTAAAAATAGAGTCAAAGTACTTGTGCAACGTGTTTTTCAGTTTCATACTAGAAAAGTAGAATACACAAATGTGGGATATGCATACTTACGTCATAGAACAGTCTTTTACAATAGACGAATGTTAAAATTTGTATTTCATTGAGTGTAAGAAATTACTTATAGTATGCAATTTAAATCTGTATATGCAAAATCACTACCTTCCTTAAAGTCACTTCCAATTTTGTAGTAACTCTTTGGTAATCCAGAAGTATGCTTCAGGCGTAAATGATATGACACACTATGTTAGCTTCTGATGGCAAAATTACATTATCCTCCATGACAGTTCTGCGATTCTTAAAACAAATTTTAAATATATTGGAAGTTATCTTTCGTAGCAAGTAGAGGCAGCTTTTCGATGCTCTGTTTGTGATCAAAGCTATGCAACCAATCTGAGCTCGGTTTCCCTTTTATTCCGCAAAAGTTTAAATTGCAAAAATCAGCAGCATTCTGAAGAGCACCACGATGGAAAGGATTTCCTTGTTTGAAATGCGCGTAGCGTCCAGCATTCATACGTTCGTTTGTTGTCATTCCAAGAACCATAATCTAATAATTAATACAATAAAAGCAATATTATTTTACGACGAAAAAGAAATGATTGCAATTAATAAAACTATAAAACCATAATTGTATAGAAATAAAGTAGAACATTCAACAAACCTGATAACACTGACACGTAAGCAATGTGCCAACCCAAAAGAAATGAAGAGAGGTATTTGCTGCAACCCACATTACCCAAGCATCGCACGTAGCCGCAGCAACTAGATAATTATCAGCGCTATGCCCATTTGTTAAATTTGTCCAACATTTAAATTGCCAATACTGTACACAAGCAGATAAAACAACAATACAGAGGCCTAATAGTGATGCTAAAAATCCCAGAAAATACTTGTGGTTATGCGCACCTAGTTTTAAAAAAGAAAAAAAAAAAAAACAGTAATTAAAACTTATAAATATAACTATGTTATTTGATGATTTTAAACTACAACTATATTATTTAAATTGTGAAAAGTTAATGCACTTTCAAACTGTGCCAGTTATATATGTTATTAACATAATAAAACTATCTCCTAAAATTTGTTTTTATCGACTTACCGATACAATTGTTAATCCAAGGACAGTGATGATCAAATCGTGCAACGCATCGATCACATGTAGAACAATGTTTAGATCTCATAGGTCTTCTGACCAAGCAACTGCTGCAAAACGATTGTGGTTCAAAACCACCGGATTCTGCTAACTCTATAATCGTCTGAAAATTCGAATGAAACTAAAGAATACACTTCACGTATAGATAACGTAAACACAATATATAGACTATTACATTTAACTTATCCTCGTGTGTAGCTGTAATTACGCCTGGATCCCCTCGCCAGGATTGTAAGAAACATATCCAAAATGGTACAGATCCACCTACTAATAGTAACCATAAATACCATGCAGCATGTATACCTAGCCAAAATACCCATGTTACATATATCCACATCTGTAACAGATGGTATAAAATGTTGATTACAAATAGTCTATTGTGCGTATTACATATTAAACAAATAATTATTCTTTAAACAGAAAACTATTAATAAAATAGCATCAAAGCTATCAACATTTTTTGATAATGTATATTTTAAAGTTTTAATTATATTTGTTCATATTATCTAACATGTTATGATAAAAAATTGGCTGTCTGTATCAGTTGTGTAAAAGTTAATATCTGATATAATTCAATCAATTTTCTACAATTACTCAACACTGGGACTTTATATAAATAAAGTATCTAGTAACAGTTTCATGATATATTGTTTTAAGTACTTACCTTTGTAGCCAAATAAATTGACATTGGTACAATATGAAATAATCGTTCATCAAAGATAAAATGATTAGCTACATACAGTGCTATATAAAGAGTAACAAAGGCACCTAATTTCACTAGATAATCCAGTCCACTCTGAAATATCATTCCAATCACATAGAAAACTATAAATGGTGTACTGACCATACAGTACCAGCGTATTCTCTGAAAAAAGAATTAAAATTTCATAAAATGAAATTAAGTAAAAAGCAATTACAGTGCATACCTTATCTCTACACCATGTTCTTGTTCTGCCCTGCTTTTCTCTGATTTCTTGACTGATCTTATGTCCTAACCAAGCAGCACCAATATGACGACCCAATAATGTCATTGGTGTTTCATCTCGAATATTTGGTATATCCAAAGATGCACCATGATGAACTAGTGTTGATATTGCTGTACTATTCTCAGCTATAATAGCCCAATGCAAAGCAGTATTACCATGTAAATTATCAGCTAGTGAATGAGATGCTCTTAAAGTCAATAACAAGCGCGTTGGATCTAAACTGTAAAAAGAAAGACTTTAAGGTAACCAATATACTATAATTCTAAATAAAGATATTCACAAATACAGATTTTTGTTGTTTCTTTCACATTTACCTATTCACTTTATAAGCACTCCACATGAGGGGTGTCATTGCACTTCTGTCTGGCATATTTGGATTTACTCCTTTTGCAACTAGATAAGCAACAATAGAAGTATGACCAAATTGTGCTGCTAGATGAATACATGAGAATCCTTCTGAATCCCTAAGAGTTGGATCTGCTCCTGCTCTCATTAATATCACAACTGTAGGTAAATGGCCCTGTCTGAAAATAATAATTTTTATTTTGATGGTTGAAATATTTAATAAAAACTCTTAATGAAATAGATTTGAGTTATATATGTAATTTAGCATTAACCTTGTAGCCCAATGTAATGGTGTGGAAGCAAGCTCACCACCAATTGCATCAACAACTGCTCCTTTTGCAATTAAGTATTTTACAATATCTTTCCTATTGTTTATTGCTGCCCAATGCAATAATGTTACAGTCTCTGAATCTGGCTGATTTACATCAGCACCAGTTTCTACTAATTCAGTTACACGATCTAAAGCTCCATACTGTAGAAAATAAATTTTTTGAACAACTAGTATTGTAAATAACTATTAATAATAATAATCAATCAAATAATTAATGAAACAATAATATTTAAAATCTAATCACCTGAGTTGCTCTAACAATGTCAAATGAACTACAATCCTGTGCTGGAGGTCTAGCAGGTTCCTGATGATGATTACTTGGATCATCAGGTTCTCCACTGCCCTCGCTTTGACAGGCAGTTTGCATTTTTAATGCATACATGTTTCTATTTGTTAATATCAACTTGAAAGTCAGGTCATAAATACAATAAAAATTCTGTATCCGAAAATAAATTTTTATAATTGCTTTATGTCATAAAATGTAACTGAAACAATAATAATATATTGTTCTATGAAATTCTAAACTTTATAATCAAAATAAAATATTGAAGTTATATAATATTAAATATTTATAATTATTGTATAAATTAACAATATCAATTTATAGATATCTATTATTGTTTTAAAGAAATTTTTGTAAACCTTTTGTATATTAGAGAAGTATTATGTACAAAAAATGTTAATGGCTTTCTACACCAATTTACATTACAACAAAACCTACAAGTATTTTGTCGCATGATTTTATATCGAATTATTATTCTAACAAACTACTTTATAAATTTAAAGCTCTATGATTGTTTCTCGATTTTAATTAAAGTGATTGTAAGTGTAAATAGTTATCTGGGAAAAGATTGCTGACATTGTTCCATGATAAATGTACTTCATCCGACAATTAATATCATTCAATCTGACCGATGATAATCAATCTATCGTTTGTATTCACCAAGTATACCGCGTTGTAAATATAATGTGTACTATGGCGTACATCGAGCATATTGACAATCGATTTGGTATTCGAGACAGGGACTTATGATAAATGTTGCAATGTACGATTTTCCCTCACTTTTGAGAAATATTTGGTTATTCCACAGTGATCTCGTTCTTTGTTTGCATATGTATGTAGATAGTTATAAGACGTAATTCCTTTGGTTGTTCCAAAGAAAGAATAAAACCGCTATACATCGAGGTACAAGGCACTTTCGCGATAAGATTAAATTATTCCACAATTCATGAAATTATCTCTCAATCGTAAATACATCTGCAAAAACTACTTAATGATATCATATCTTACCTCCCAGGCAATGACAAGGCTGATAATAGATTTGCATAGTATGCGGCATGCTACCCCCCAATATGTAGTAAGGGGTTAGATTTAAAGGACAAACAGTAAGTGGGGGTGGGGCGCCGGTACATCGCATAGAATCCAGACAAGGGTTGACCTTTCTTTCGACTATAGAAAAAACACCTTTCTATAACTTGTCGTTTCTTCTGTGATCCAGGTCAACACTATTCTTATTTTTCCTTATTTGTTACACGATTTCATCGTTGTTAACGCTTCCTTTTTAATACATTTTTTTTACACACGCCGCGTACCGCACTTATACACAATATGTCTTTCGCGTCACATGTACATTATGCTTTCTCAAGTTTCACGACAAGCTTCTTATTGACCAAACGGCTTCGCAAGCCGCCCGATCGGTATCCGATACTCATCGAACGAATGTAAAGTTATCAACGAGTCATCTGGCGGAGAAAATAAATACAGTTGTTTCTTGCGAAATTATAACGCCCTCTGGGTAATATTTTAAATAAAAGAAAAAATTTCAAGATTTATTGGTAGGTTTGTACAAAGATGTGAGCATATATGTTATGTAAATTTCATTAAGTTGAACTAAAGAAAATAATAAGTATATATTGTTTGATTTGAATGTTACTCACGGTACCAAATTTAAAATAAGTACGTAATTGTTTATTTAAAAACTGAAACTTTATTTAATAGAAGGGAATAAAAAAAAAAAATTACCAAACAAAAATAACGTTGATGATTTTATGATTATTTTTATTTCATTCTATGATTTTGTAAATAGTTTATTCACGATATAAATAGCAATTTAGGTATCTTTTGTTATAAACTTGGACGATGTAATTATATTTCAATAATTTCTTTTGCTAGGAGTGTTCAAGTATTAAACAATTCGTATTTTAATTTTCATCATTTGATGCAATATTTATAAATTTACGTACTAAATTTTAATTGGCCAACTTCCAACCAATCACCAATTTACGATATTCTTTGTTAAACGAGTGCCATTTTTCTTTAGAATTACGAGTCTAGAAACATTAATGTTCATGGTAATACGGTTTACGCACAATTTTTGTCTTTCTATACTCTATTTTCCCGCCGATTTTGTTACGATTATTTTTGTGATGCGGCGGCGGTGTATTTTCAACGTACTATATTTGTGAAAGTTGTTCTCTAAATTATCAAATTTTTATATTCGTATATTGTATTTTAACCTTATAATTTATATATATTTAATACATGTATTTCTCTGCTTTTTATATTATCTACATTTTCGTAGTAAATTATTGTTAGGTTAGGATAATGTATCAGTGACAGATTCATCATTGATCTTGTCAATCGATGTAATGTAACAAAAGTTTCATATTGAGATATATTTAGGTAAGAGGAAGCCAACATACACTCTTTTATTTCTTGTCTTTAATTAAGTATTGCATTGTGACTGACTATATCCTCTTTTTTATAGGAACTACTGAGATGAAAATGATGGATGTCAATGGACAAAATGATTGTTATATCGAAGCAGTCACTCCAGCCAAGAAAAAGAAGATGAAACAAGGTACTCAACTTTCTGTATTGATGACATCAATAATGTAATCAATACAAAAAATGATTCTCTATAATTTTGATAGTAATAGGGTTATATACAATTTGGAATTTAATTTCAGCTCAGTTACCATTCCATAGTTCAATACAGTCTCCAAGTGTTGTACAAAATAAGAAGAGGAAATTAACATCTCCTTCTGTAGAATGCAGAAGTCCAAAAACAATGAAAATTTTGAAAAAAAGTTTAACTAAGGGCAATGTAGATAATACAAAAAGTGATGTAGATATTAATGCAGAAGATAGTAATGATTCTGTAAAAATAATGAAAGATACTGAAATTGAAAATGTGAAAGAAAACACAACATCTAATAAAGTGGAAACTAGGAATAAATTTGAAACTCCAAAACGCACTTCAACTAGACAAAAAAAAATAGAGAAACAAGAGAAATTGAAGTCAAGTTCTTTAACAAAATTCCTTCAAAAGACTGATAAACAGGAAGATAAATTAAAGGAAGAGCCGCAAGTTTCTTTGCAAGAGGAGGAAGATGACTCAATTAAAAACACTCCTAGCAAAGCTATTGATAGTGGTACAAGTGTGTCACATACAAATACTGTTAGTAACAAAGTGGAAGATTCACCATCACTTTTGAATGATTCTCTATGTCAGTCTGATTCTGATATTGCAATTGTATCCTCTGATAACGAAGATAAAGATGAACAAACAAAGTCAAATAACAGTACAATGGAGGATGCATCTGGTACTCCACAAATTCTTAAGACTCCCACAATGGAAAAATCAAAGCAAAAAAAATTAACACCTAAGCAGCAAGAGAAGAAGTTATTAAGTGCTAAAAAAAGAGAGGAAAGACAAAAATTAAAAATGGTAAATTGTTACGTTTATGATGTAAATATTTTATTTTATAATTTTCAATTGTTTTATTTATTTATTAGGAGAAAGAAAAGAAATTGGAAGAGGAACGGCAAACTCGGCGGAAAGAAAAGGAAGAGAAACGTAAAGAAAAGGAAGAGAAACGTAAAGAAAAGGAAGAAAGGGAAAAAGCCGAAAAAGAACAAAAACTGATGGAAAGAAAATTGAAAGAACAAAAGAAGCAAATGGAAATCGAGTATGAATATTTATAATTGTAGTAATCGTAATTTAAAAAAAATGTAGTTGCCAATGTTTTGTCATCCATACTTGTTTGCAGACAAAGGCAGAAAGAAAAACAAGCAAAAGAAGAAGAACGTAAGAAAAGAGAAGAGGCTAAGGAGGAGGAAAAGAGGAAAAAAGAAGAAGAAAGATTAGAAGCAGAACGTAAGAAACAGAAAGCAGCAACGACTTTCACTAGCTTTTTCGTAGCTAAAAAGCAAGAAAAATCCACAGAAGATGAGAACGCGAGTGAAGTAAAGAATTTCATGCCATTCGAAGTAAAAGCAGATATGAAGATAGCTCCAGTTTGTAGAAGAATTTTAAATGGAGAAGAGAAGCTGTTATTTGATGAAAAGTGCAATGATGGAAGTATACAAGTGTCAGACTTGTATCTCAGTGAAATCAAAAATAAAAAAATTGTCCTTCGCAAGTCATTGAAAACTTGGCCACTTGAAACAAAAGAGGACGTAGTTTTAATTGGTAGGCATTATCTTTTCCTGTAGCAATTATTCATTTAATTGTAGTTCATAACGCATTGTTCGCAGACGAAGAAAACGATGGCACTTCGAACATTGTGAATCAAAACATCATCATAGAGAAGCAACGACCTAAATTGTTACAATTTTCTGAAAATCAACGTCCACCCTACTGGGGCACATGGAGAAAACGCAGCAACAGTATTAATCCTCGAAAACCGTTTGCAAGAGATAAAGTAAGTCTGAAATTAATTGTTTACATATTTATAGGATGATCGTCATTGTATTTATTCGTGGTTTATGCGATTAAGGTACTTTTTCAGTGATGCTTATAGAGAGAATGTAGTTATCATATTATCACAAAAGTTATAAAGCATTAAGTTTATTTTTGGTACATTTATGACTTTTGCAACAAAAATATATATATTTATATTATATTATCCAACTTCAGATTACAAAATGCTAAAAAAAAATTTTTTGATTCTTTCTAGTATCAAAACGGGCAGATTATGATATTTTATCAATATCTACAAATTTTATTCACTTGCGTTAAACTAAATTCAACAAACAATTCTTTGTATTTTCAATAATGTTTATTTTCACTTTATAAAGTTTGTCACATAATCCAGTTCAACATTTTGAACCATCTTAAAAGGAAGACTAAAAAATAGTAATCTTATTTAATCTCTTTTGTCCATAGCGTGATTTTTTCGTTTCATATATCAAATTAATCATCAAAAAGATATTTCCTTGCTAAAATTTCAAAATGGAAATGATTTTTCATGATCTTCATACATCAGAAACAAAGTACGATTTCTCTTCACGATTGTTTGATCGAGGATCATTGCAAGGAAGCAACAAAGCTGTTGATTCGAGAAATCTGGAAGAAAATTCTCTTGACGTCAGTCCCTTCAACGCCATCATCGTTGTTACGTTACACAAGGAAAATTTACTAAATCTCCGCTGGCAGAATGTTCATCTTTCCTCCACGTATACCTCTACCCCCATGGAATAATGGGTATGCGTTCTTCCGATGTACTTTGCGGTGTTTGGCCAGATGGTCGCTGCGTGCAAATCTCTTTGAACACATTTCGCAAGGATAAGGCTTTACGCCTGAATGCGATCGTCGATGCCTGGCTAATTCATCGGATCGGCTAAAGCGCCATCCACAGCCAGACCATGTGCATGCAAATGGTTTCTCACCGGTGTGTCGACGTAGGTGAGCTTTCAGGTGAGATGCTTTTGCATAGACCTGAAAAAATAATTGCAGTTAATCATGGAATATTTATATTGTTCTAAAAACATTTAAATATCCTTATGCTATTCTATATTTACTATGTTAAATATCCTTATTTACTATATAAAACTATTCTGTTAAATGTATCTTAATTTTATTATTTTAAAGTAATTAGATGTTGGATGCTTTTGACTGTTGTAGTGTTGATGTAGGTTTTGAATATTTCATTGATATAGTGAATAGTTACAATATACCTTCACACATCCTTGGTAAGTGCAAGGAAAGCATCGATCCTCTGACGCATTTGCCAAACTTCGATTAGTATAGTCGTGGGTTGCTAGTGCTGCAGCAGCTGCTGATGATATATTTTCTTCTACTTGGTTATTGTTGTAATCTCAAATGGATAAGAAAACAGTCAGTTATTATTGTTAATTCTAAACTGAAATAATTTTCTTATTGTTTGGAAAGGAGAGGTCTAAGAATGCTATATTAGATTGTATATTGAGAAAAGAAAATTGTCGACATCATTTCAGCCTAAATGAAATAATAATCCCGAGAGGTGCTCGAAACTTACCTATTCTGCCAGTTTCCAAAGTGTCATCGAGTGCTCTCAAATCGATTCCGAGCACCCACAATGGCTCCTCTCGTTGGAACGTTTGCTGAGGACTGGGCAGTGGTAGGTGCAGGAAACCCTCGCATCCTGCAGTGCACAACGGTGTCCTCTCTGGTAGTCCAGAGTTCCAGCTTTTGTCTAAACACCATTCCAGCTCAGAGTCTAACTCGCTTAGTTCGCTTAGCTCGCTCAGACACCCTGTACCTGATAGATATTTGATTTTATGAAATGCTGCTCTGCATCTTTATTTGCTATAACTGTGTACTAGGAATTGGATACTGGGTTCTAATTAGGATTTATGGGGAATTGTGGTCTGTCCATTCGTGATTCGAATATAGTAGGCATTGTGATTCAAAGGTTTGAATAACAATCTAGACCATCTTATAAAATGATGGAGCAGGAGTGGGAAGAATTTTTAAACGAATGTATGAAGACACCAAGGGTGAAGTTTATTGTTATTGGTAGCAAGTTTAGGAATGATTGATCCTGGTTGTTTATAGTGGAATGAACATAATATACAATTGAATAGCAATTTTGTTTGATACTGATAGCACTTAGTGATATACTCATAGTGAAACTATATTTCAATATTATATCAAGCTACACTAGCACTAAATAATCTGTTCATAAGAATTATTAGTCACTATTAATTAGAACTTTTTTCCTCATAAATTAACAAAACTCTTGTTGCAGAGGGTACATAGAAATATAAATGTATATTGTGCAGAGATGAGAAGATGATTAGAGGAAGAGATGCGAATTGTGGTCACTTACCACAACACAATCATAAAGATACAGCACACGAATTTCACTATCGGCTGAAAGTGTCACATCTGTAAATGGGATCACATAAAATCGAATGATAAAGAAAGCGACAGAGATACATTAAGACAAAGAACCATCGTCAACCACTAATATAAGATAAAAAGCGTGTCGACGTAGCCTATCCTACTGCGCAACTATCAAAGGTACAGTCAGATCAAGCGAGTAGAGTACCCCTCTCGCCACTGTTCTTCTTCTCATCTTTGCATAGTGGTTTATTGCGTGCTCTGTATACACTTAACTCACCTGACAAAGGCGTGGAATTGTTATCAGTCCACTCGTTCCAAGATGTCTTCACCGGGCAAGTCAAATTAGTATAACACTCTACTGTATTCCCAATGTTGGTCGCATGGCCATCTATAGTCTCTGAGTCGTCGCTGCGCGGCGTTCTACAAGAGGAGGCATCGTAGTCGCAAGTGAAGGTTGTCGAGTTGATGGAGAACAGTTGTCTCTCGACACTAGTGTCCGTGGTCAGGCCCAACGCGGAGAACAACAGCTCGTCCGTCATCTGTGGCGAGAACAAAGCGCAGGGATGAAGAAAAGGGAGCAAAGCGAGACTGACAAAGAGAAAGAGTTGCTCTTGTTCGTGGAATGAATGGCAATTGGCTAGAAAAAAGATTTGTCGATCCAGTGAGGAAAGCACGAGGCTGTTTATTGTTGCGAGAGTTGCTTGTCTGGGATTAATCGGGCCGGTTTCTTGGCGATACCGGCAGCAAGTCATGCGGCGCGAACGCTCTATATCTGTTGATTAACATTCAATTCTATTTTGAGTTATCGGTGGCGAAAGAAAGAGGGAAACGTAACCAGATGGGCCTCCGTTGCTCTCGTTTGTCTCTCCACGGGTATTCTTCCTATCATGTCCTACGTTTAGGTGGTCGTGAGATGTTAATCGTTGGGCACTTCCTTTGTTGGCGTTTCATGCGGAGTGGGGACTGGAAGAGCCTGGAGGGAGGAAGAATCGTGGGAGTGAATTCTTTACGATTGGAGTTGTTAATGACAATTATCTGACAGTACGATTCTGTTTATTAGATATTTTTACTAATGTAACAGAACTGTACGTTATTCTGTATTATTTGCTAGAATTGTTTTCAACTTTCTGCACTGAAAGTGCATACGTTCTTACTTTCAAAGTCATCATCAATGAATTCTTGTCCTATAAGATCATCATTTTCTTGTTCTCAGAACATAATTCTTTTCTCTGTGATCTCTTTGTCACTGCTCTTTGTAAATTTCTTATTGAGATTGATTAACAAATTAATGATTCCGTTTATTTTTAGAAATAGTTCTCCTGTTATACCATATATCTTTTATGGTGTACAAATTTATTTGTCAGGCAAAATTTGATTGAAATTGCTCCAGTGGTTTGCAAGAAGGTGGGTCATGAAATTTTTGATTTTGCAACTTTATCATAGGGATAGAGATCAGTTATGGGGTTACTTACAGGGATTTAATTTTTGCACATATAATTCATATTCTAATAACATAATTGTAGATCACAATGTTAATTATAACAACATAGCAAGTGTTATAACATTTTTGATAAGAATTCTGACTATATTTGCCATTAGTGTTAAATGCAAAATATTTTATATGCAATTAGGTATTTATGTGTATTTATTAAGTTTTATCAAAATTCTGAATATCAACGATGAAACATTAGCATTCGAATACTATTGGACACAGCTAACATGCGGAAGTTTGAGAGCAGGTCGACACTGATTGCGTGTCAAAGTCTCAAGTCTTCGGATATCGCAGATATGAAATATTCAGTAGATCTTACTGCATGTCATTTCGAGTCAAATTAAATTATTAATCCAGCATTTCAGAATTTTTTTATGCAAATTAAAGCCTCTATACAGATGCTTGGAGCTTAGGAAATTAATTTCAATTATCTAAAATTTTCCGAAATTGTTTTAATAATTTTCTAGAATTCTTTGACTCATTATTCCAGGAAATTGAATTATTATTTGGCCTCAATTTCAGTTTTTCAAATTGAAATTGAAATTTAATATGGTATTACGATAGGAAACAGCTGAAATTCGCATTAGAAATACCAAATACCAAAAAATTGAAGTGCAAATGACTGGTTTCATGATTTCCCCAAATTATTAAAAGGACAGAGCTGATTAATGTTGATTGGTGGTTCTGATGCCAAATGAATTAGAAGTGAAGGAATCAAAAAAATCGAAAGAAAAAAGGGAAGAAAATATATTTATTGAGATTCTAGACAGGAATTTTGTTGTCAAAAGATTATCTCGACCAATCGCCGATTTTTACTCACGTCGAACATCCCAGCTTCCTCTATCATCCTGTCTGCTACTCAAGGCTATAGCTACTCCGAACCGATATTTCATTAAACAACGTAAACTGACGTTTTACTGTTCTTCGTTGTTCGTCTTTATTTGCGTTTTACATGCAATTATTCCACCATTAGTCACTGTCTTGATTTCCACTATCACTTCCGATTGCCACTGTTACAAGGTTCTCGATACTGTCTGACCAACAAATCGGGAACAAATCGTCGCACGTTTTTCTCCTTCGTTTCAGTGTCTCTCCGATCCTCCTTTTGGAAGCTTCCAACCTTGCAAATATGAAACCATCGTCATTCTTTTCAAGCAAATCTTTTTATGATACCATGTAACTGAGAGAAAATCAGTTATCAATTTCCTTTGGACCTGACTATCTTAAAACAAAATTCTCAAATCTGTATGCTACTATTGCACAGCAAGAAATTTAATGGAAATACGAGTAGAAGAAGGAGCATGGAATAATGATAAAATTCCTATATTTGAAGTTCGAGACAGGAGACTTTGGATCACCCTTCCTAAACAAAAATTTTCAAATCTATGTATTACTAGGGTAAAATTATTTTTAAAGTAGATAAATGAAGTGGAAATATCAGTTCAATATCAGAAGAGAATCTAAACTCAATCCAAGTCAGGATTCCCAAATTTATATATCATTTCTATGATTACTAAGAATAAAATGGAGAAATAAGGAAGCATCGAATAATTCTCAAATTCGAATATTTGGAATAATTCTTTGTCAAGGAGAATACAAATTTAATCGCCCTTTGCAAACTAAGATTCTAAGAAACTAAACTAATCAGACGAACATGAAATATCTAATGATTGCAAAATTCGATTATTGAAAATTACCCTTTCAGAAGCCTGTATGAGCTAATTTCAAACCAAAGTGATTACTTCAAATTTAATAACATCATTCGTCTCAAAACACTTGCCTGCTTCTCCGTCAAATCCGAATATCTACAATTTTTCTATTTCTCAGAGTTAACCAATTTGCCAATTTTCAAATTTCGAAAAATGGCGCGCTATGTATGCAATCGACGCACGAAGTAAAGCAAAGGGAGAGAAAAGAAATAATCGAATAAAATAAAAATATAAAGACAGGAAGACAAAGTACCAATTAAAAAATTCGAATACCTTCACGAAAAAAGAAAAATTTTGAATACGAAGAGTCAAGTCGAGTGCTTGAAAAATTTCCCAAAATGGCGTGCTACTACCTACTACAATCCTTAGTCAAAGTAAAACAAAAGGAGAGAATAAAAATATAAAGATGGGAAGACGAAGTACCAATTAAAAAATTCGAATACCTCCTCGAAAAAAGAAAAATTTTCGATATGGAGAGTCGAGTCGAGTGCTTGAAAAATTTCGAAAAATGGCGTGCTACCTGCTACAATCCACGCGCGAGGTAAAGCAAAGAAACAAGGGAATAAAATAAAAATATAAAGACAGGAAGACAAAGTACCAATTAAAAAATTCGAATACCTCCACGAAAAAACAAAATTTTGAATACGAAGAGTCAAGTCGAGTGCTTGAAAAATTTCCCAAAATGGCGTGCTAGTACCTACTACAATCCGCAGCCAAAGTAAAACAAAAGGAGGGAATAAAAATATAAAGATGGGAAGACGAAGTGGCAATTAAAAAATTCGAATACCTTCACGAAAAAAGAAAAATTTTGAATACGAAGAGCCAAGTCGAGTGCTTGAAAAATTTCTCAAAATGGCGTGCTAGTACCTACTACAATCCGCAGCCAAAGTAAAACAAAAGGAGGGAATAAAAATATAAAGATGGGAAGACGAAGTACCGGGTAAAAAATTCGAATACCCGAAGTGACTGGCCCAGGAGACTGGAAAGAAGAACGGCCCCACAAGTGTTCGCGTGGAACTCGCGAGGTCGCGCGACTCACCCTCCAGAAAGCTTCGCGGCCGTGGTACGCGTGAGGACTGGCCGATCCCGATCCAGAGAGAAGACGCGCGATGCTCGTGGCCTGGCTTGTCGCCACACGGGCCGAGATAATCGAGCCTGTGCCACCCGGTCCCGTCGCCGTGCTCGTCCCTGGGGATCGCCGGTCCCAGAACACCGGCAGACGCGCCAGCGAAACGGCTTCCTGGCTAATTGGCTCGTCTCGTCTCGCGCTTATTTACGACGCCAGCCACCCCCGATAATCGGCCACGAGCGACGTATCTGCGTGGTCCGGGTCTACGGGGGAGGACCGGTGTGTTTTCTTGGCGAAATCGCGTTTGGCGAATCCGGCGACCACGTGGCCCCTCGCTGAAGAGTCTCAGCGAAGATCACCGTTCTGGTGCTTTTTTTCTTTGCGCATGCTCCGACGCGACGAATTTTCGGGGTCGTCCATGGACTCCTGGTGCTCGGCTAGGGAGCTATTCCGACGTTTTTCATCGTTTCTTGCCGGTTTGCTTGTTTCCTTTGGAACGCTTGGAGTTGGGTCTAGAGACACTGGGTGAGGGTTATGAGAGTATTATTCGTTGTTATTAGGGTGCTGATTGGATATTAGTACTGGTCGATGATGTGGTGTTTTGCTTTGGAAATTTAGTTTCGATTATCTTTGTTGAGGAATAGGTCTGATAGGGATATTTAGTGATTTATATTATTTTGTTTCTTTATGGTCATTTTCTTTGGATTTCTTGGGTGGATGGGTAAATTTAGAGGAATAGGATTTAGTTGTTGAAAATTCTAGGGGATATTCTGGGAAATGTTACTATTGATAAATTGTTATTAGAATAGTGTTTATGTATTAATATCTGTTGACGTTACTTTCGGTAGTTTTGTTCAGATTATCTTTGTTGAGGAATAGATCTAATAGGGATATCTAGTGACTTATATTATTTTGTTTTTTCATGGCCATTTTCTTTAAATTTCTTGGTCAGTAGATTTAGAAAAATAGAATTTAGTAGCGAAAGATTCTAGGGAATATTTTAGGGAATAGTACTATTGATAAATTGTTATTAGAATAGTAATTATTTATTAATATCTGTTGACATTACTTTCGGTAGTTTTGTTCAGATTATCTTTGTTGAGGAATAGATTTAATAGGGATATCTAGTGACTTATATTATTTTGCTTTTTCATGGCCATTTTCTTTAAATTTCTTGGTCAGTAGATTTAGAAGAATAGAATTTAGTGGCGAAAGATTCTAGGGAATATTCTGGAGAATGTTACTATTGATAAAATGTTATTAGAATAG